TGTGACCGTGCCCAAGATCCTGAGAAGAGAATGGAGGAGAAGGGATTTGTGGCGTGGCCATCCCCCCTGGGGGGGTGTGATTTCTCACTTTCTGTCTTCCTGTCTGTCTGGCGAGTGCACACGCTCTATAGCGAAAACCTCTCAAAAAAAAACCAAAAAAAAAAAAAAACAAAGGAAAGCATTAAAAAGATCAGAGAGAAAGGGAGAAAAAGAAGGAAAAAAGAGACTATAGGAGAGAGAAGTTTTTTCTTCTGCCTTTCTAGCTGTGGGCAGGAGAGGTAAGTTGGAAGCGGGACAGGGCGGGGGCTGTAGTTTGGGGCTTCTCAGCCGTCATGTTGGTAGCAGAAATGAACAAAGCACAGATGTAGATGTCTCAGCAATGCCCTTGTCCTTTCTAGCTATGGGCTGGGTAGGTGACTTGGAAGAGAGGGCTACTCAGCCTTCATGTTGGTACCAGAAATGAGCAGGACATCTCAGATGTAGATATCTCCCTGCAATGCCCTTGTCCTATGTAGGTTCAGTTCTGTTCTGTTCTGTTCTGTTCTGTTCTGTTCTTTTCTTTTCTCTTTTTTCTTTTTTTTGGAGAGTTTTTTTGTTATAAGGGTGCATGCGCTCGCCAGAAGACAGAGGGAGACAGAAAGTGAGAAATCACTCCCCCACCCCCCAGGGGGATGGCCACGCCACAGTCCCTTCTCCTCCATTCTCCTCTTGGGATCTTGGGCATGCACACACACGCGCCCGGCGTGAGTTTAAGCCACTGGGTCTGGGACTCGAACTGTGGTCAACTACATGGGAGTCCAGCGACATAGCCATTACGCTAACTGCTGGTCCCAGGCTCTTTTGTTTTTTTGAGAGACTTTTGCTATAGGGTCCGTGCCCTTGCCATAGAGACAAGAGAGACAGAAAGTGAGAAATCATTCCACAGGGAGATGCTGCACCATGATCCCTTCTCCTCCATTCTCCTCTCAGGATTTTGTGCATGCATGTACACAGGTGAGGCATGAGTTTCAAGCCACTGGGTTCAGGACTTGAACTGCAGTGAGCCAGTGGGAGTCAAGCGCCTCAACCACTATGCCTCCTGCTGGCCCCTATGATTTTGTTATTATATACATTTTCCAGGAACTTTTTGAAGACCTTCTCTATGTAGCCTTTTATTGGGGTTAGGTGTCATGTGTAGTTTTTTTTTTTTTAATTGTTAACGTTTTCTGCTAGAATTTATTTGATATCAAGAAGTCTCCAGTATTTTTTGATACTTACGAGGCGTGGGAATTTTTTTTTTTTTTTTGAGAGAGATTTTTGCTATAGAGCATGTGCACTCTCCAGACAGACAAAGATCGAGAGACACAAAGTGAAAAATCACTCCCCCCAGTGGCGATGGCCACGCTGCAATCCCTTTTCCATTCTTCTCTTGGGATCTTGGGCATGCACACACATACACCTGGCATGAGTTTTAAGCTGCCAGGTCCAGGACTCAAACTGTGATCAACTACATGGGAGTCCTGCAACGTAACCATTATACCATCTGCTGGTCCCCAAGGTGTGGGAATTTTTAAAAAATAAAATATTCAATTACAATTTTATTGAATGTAGTTTTTGTTACTGGAACTTGATTATTTTATTCATTGCTTTGTTTCTAATACTATTTCTTCTAAGTGTCATATTTTCATTGATTTTATGGGTAGATTTATACTTTGGGGTATAATTGAGGACATTCCATTGAATAAATGAACAAATTGTCCAGCCTTACTGGCATTGTTTTGTGGAAGCAAATAGTGTGTTTCCATTCTTAGTACTCCACCCATATTTTTTTTCTCCATCTTTTATTTGATACATAAAGAAAGTACATGAGTGAAGAATACCGTTATGTTTCCCTGGATGACTTTTGAACTTCATTAGGGTAACACAAGGATCAGATGTGAGAGGAATAGAGACTCTCAGGATCAACTCAAGTAATTAGAAACAAATTTTTGGGAAATGATGAATAGTTTCCAAATTGACATGGAAAAGGTTCATGTTCTTAAAGTTAAGCCTTGACATTTCATTAGTTTAAATGGGATCAGTTTATCAAATGAGATTTTCTTTCTGAACTCACTCTGAAACCTTTGGTGTTTGTAGATAGTGTTTTGTTAGAATAATGATTATTTTTATGAGATTACATTTCTTATATTTGATGATGAAAATCTATTAATGGCACAGAGATCATGGCAACTGCGATTGGCAGTACAGGACAAGTATCAGGAAAGTAGCTTTAAAGATTTGTGGGGATTTTTAAATTTGTTTTTTTTAATTACCAGAGAGCATGGCCATGCCACAATCTCATTTTCTCCATTTTTCTGTCCTGTCAGGATTTTGAGCACACATGCACACACTCTTGGAGCCCTTATCAGATGTCCAAGCCACTGGGCCCAGGATTTGAACTATGGTCAGGTATTAGGGATCTGACTCCCAATGTATAGGACTTAACCACTATGTTATGGGGGCTAGCCTAAAGAGTTGGTTGTCAAAACATTTTATGTCTTATATTATTTTTGAACATCAGTTTTGTTAAAAATTGTCAACCATTTGAAACTTGATTTTGATTGTCATTTTCTTATTTTTCATTTTTATGTGATGATTTTTCATTATGACTGTGGGAAATTTCGTTTTTATACATTTAGATTTAAATTTTTTCACATTAGAGATTTCAGATGGACTTATAAAAATATTAATTTATTTACTTATTCAATAGAAATTTAATGCCACTTATGTTCCCAGCACATAGTGAACTTAAATGCTTTAGGGGCTTTTGATGCTTTAGTGAATTTTAGAACAACATCTAAAATCCTTTCCCTGTGGACCTTCTAAACCTTTCATGAAAAGCACATTAATTAGTTTACATCTGGTATAATATACTTTCATAGTCATTTAATTTTTTTTTTTTTTTTTAAAGTTTTGCTTTGGGGTTTATACATTCACCAGAGAGAAGGAGCATGAGAAATCATCCCCCCAGGGGAGATGGCCATGCCACAATCCCTTCTTCTCGGGATTTTGGGCACATGTGTACATATATACCTGGTGTATTTTTCAGGCTGCTAGGTTTGGTTCTTGATCTGTGCAGTTGGCCATGTAGGATCCAACATGTTAACTATCATGTCATTTGCTGGCCTTAATTGCCATTATTTGGACATGTATTTTAAAATTGGCTGAAAACTGGATTAATTTTTTAAACAAATTTTTATCTTGTCTTTTTCCCTAATGTATCTAAATCAAAGGGATGATTGGGAACCATCAAGGGGATATTAGAGATAGTAATATAAATCTAGACACTTTAATATATATTTTTTCCTCAACTTAATACTTGAATGAAATTATTTCTGTTTTTTAAAGGCTTTAACTTTTTTGTGTTTTGAAAATAACCTTTGGCCCAGTTCCGTGGCCTGGTGGTTGGGGCAGCTATAGATACCATGTGGTGAATTGCATGGTTCAAGTTCCAGCCCCAACAGCTTCAGAAACACACAGGGCCATATGCATGCCCAAAATCCCAAAGGGAGGTAGTCCCCATTGGGGATACTTTCTCCTCTTCCTCTTTCTCCGTTTCTTTGGTGAGCCCGTGTACCCTCTATCACCAAACATAAATAAATAGATAGCCAAAAATAAATAAACAGATACATATATAGGAGGGAAGGAAAGAAAACAGCTTTTAACTGAATTCTTTAAAAATCCTTGCTTTGGGGTCAGCAACTGGCATGGTGGTTAAGGTGCTGGGTTGGATTCCCACATGACCTACTCTGTGGTTCAAATCCTGGACCCAGCAACTTAAAAAACACACTGGGTGCATATGCATGTGTGCCTAAACTCCCAAGAGAATGGAGAATGGATTGTGGCTTGGCCATCTGTCCTGGAGGGAGTGTGATTTCTTATTTTCCTTCTGTCTCTGTCTCTGTCTCTGTCTTTTTCTGGGCAGTACACTCACCCTATGGCAAAAATGTAAAAAAAAAAAAAAAAAAATTCTTGGAACCAGCGGTTAGCGTAATGGCTATGTTGCTGGACTCCCATGTAGTTGACTGTGGTTTGAGTCCCAGACACTGTGGCTTAAAACTCACGTCGGGTGCGTGTGCATGCGTGCCCAAGATCCTGAGAGGAAAAGGGAGGAGAAGGGATTGTGGCATGGCCATCCCTCCTGGGGGCTGATATCTTGCCTTCTGTCTCTCTCTGTTTGTCTTTCTAGTGAGTGCATGTGCCCTATAGCAAAAAGCTCTCAAAAATAAAAAATTCTTGCTTTACGCTAGAGTCTTAATACTCTCATGAGTATAGTCTTCAAACATTTGTTTTAATTATCACCTTCTTATGTTGAACACTAAAGATTATTTTACTGAGTCGCCAGAAATGTCATGACCTAATTTTCTATGGAAAAATCCTTCATGACTTTTCCTATGCCCCAATAATTTCATGTCCATGAAATATTATATTCTTGTTAAACGTGATGGTGCTTAAGAAACAAGTACCTTCAATATTCTTTTTTTTAAGAATTATTTTATATAACTTTATTTATTCCTTTAATTAATAAACTAATTAATTAATTTGATCAGAGAGGGACAGAGTGAGTGAGTGAGAGAAAGTGAGAAAGCAAGCCGCCAGATCTGTTACTCGAACTGTGGTTGGCCATGTGGGAGTCCAATACCCTCAACCACCATGCCACCTGCCTGCCCCAGTCCCTTCAGTTTTCTACCTGTCACTTAATAAATATGACTAAGATGTCCTGACTGCTGCAGTTTGATCCTCAAGCAGCCATAGTATAAACTATATTTTTTCCTTTAGAAAAAGAAAAGTAGGAATAGTGGGCTTTCAAATAAGTTATTACACTATTTTCTCGAGTGATCTGACTTGTTTTTAGAACGGAAATTTTCATGGTTTTCTGAAAACCCCAATGATTTTTATTGTATATGTGGTATTTCTTTAATTTTCTGTAGCCAAAATGTAACTGTTTCTTTTTAACTTTCATTTTTCCACCAAAATAATAGACTTACACAAGCACTAGCAACAACTCTATATCTGGATCTTTGAAGCGTTTAGAAGATACTACAGCACGATTTACAAATGCAAATTTCCAGGAAGTTTCTGCACACACCTCTAGTGGAAAAGATGTTTCAGAGGCTAGAGGGCCAGAAGGCAAAGGGAAGAAATCTTCAGCTCACAGCTCAGGTCAAAGGGGAAGAAAGCCTGGTGGTGGAAGGAATCCTGGAACGACTGTGTCAGCAGCTAGCCCATTTCCTCAAGGTATTAATTATGATGTTTTAGTTAAAATCCTCATTCTCTTGATGGTTGGTAGTAGTTACGCTTTGTAGAAGAATTTACTTTTATAACTACTATTATCATTCTAGATTATTTAGATAGCTGCTATAGTAATATTTCTTCAGAGACTAGTATTTCTTGTTAAATATTTCTAGAAACTTTTGTTATCTTTTTGTGTTGTGATTTGTGTTTCTAAAGTTGAACTGTAATTTTAATGTTTAAGTAGATATGGAATAAAGCTTAAGATTGGGGAGAAAAAAAAATACAAACAAGTGTTTTTCTTTCCTCTATAAAATAATCTTTCTTTTTTATATACTGTTTTCGATTACCTTTCCTAGTTAAACATTAAAACAGTTATGGTTTACATTTTTAATAGTTAAACTAGTACTGAAGAATCTTTTAGGAGAAGTAAATATGTTTCAGTAAATAACAGTTGTTGATTGATGATGCATTTATTATAAAGCTTGAAATTTAAGTAGAATTTTTCTCAGTATGCATCTTCCATGGGCAGGCTAATAATTATAGGATATCCAGTTAAATTTGAATTTTAAATAAATAAGTGGTATTTTTAAATAAGTATGTCCCAACTGTTGCATGGGACATACTTATACTGAAAAATCATTTGTTACTTAATTGAAATTCAAAATTAACTGGGCATGCTATATTTTATATGACATTAACCCTATGTTTCATGTTTTTGCTTTGTATAATTTTAACATGAACATAAATATTTTGAGAAATAGAAACATTAAAACTGTTGGAGAAAAATATATTAGTAAAATAATTTAATAAATATAATTTTTCCTTCCTCGGCCCCTCAGAGTAAATGAGAATAAAAATTGCTGAGTCCGAAACTTGAGTAATGGCTGACTACATGGGAGTCCAGCGACGTAACCATTATGCCATCTGCTGGTTCCCAGAATTGTCCTTTTATTAACTCTCGTTTAAGTTTCTGCTGATAATAAAAATTATACCTCAAATCTTGGAGGATTAAAAAGTATACTTACATATTTTATACAAGTAATAATTTTGGCTGGAACATTTTTCAGGTTCTAAATTTGTGTGTGTATATGTGTACTTACACATTATATAACAGAAGATTAGACAAGGAGAAAAATAAAATGTCGGATTTACTGTTTTATTTTATTAGAATTAATATGTGTTACTATTTTTATACCACTTTGGAAAGTAAATAGTGAAACTTTAACTTTTCATGTAACTTCATTCACATTTTGACTATATTATCAGAATCTAGTCCATGCTTCTGTAATTCACACCTTATTTTCTACTACTAAGATTTTATTTTTGAGTTTTTAATCTATGACATAATCCATTTAGACAAGAACTCTCCTATTTTCTTGAACTTCACAACATTGAAGAATCTTTTTCATCCTCTGTTAGAGTGGTAGAGAAGTTGTTTTAATATCTGAGGTAATGTTTTATAAAATTTCTTCAAGTTGAAATTTAAAAATAGAGTATTTAAGGTAATTGATTAATTATTTTCATAGAGAAAGTATGTGAATTTTAGAAAATGACATTTGAAATATTTTATATAACAAATATCAATATTTTAAAGTATTTGAAACTATGCTAATAGTGACTTTCTAATGTCATTTGTTTAAACTCCAAAGTATAGAAGACAGACAGATGGTGACGGATCAAGATAGATAATAATTTTACTATAGCTGTTAATAATGGGGCAAATTAGTGACAGGTGGAATGTAATGACTTCTACATATAAATATAAATATAAATGATTACTTCCCAGTCAATCTGTCCAAAGTGCATGTTGTTTATCCGTGCCATACCCACCCAAATTTTTATCCATATCCCCACAAGTTTCTCAGAATTCCAACTCTTTCACATCAGTAAATACCCAGAGATGATGGTATAGCTCTGTCCTCTAAGACTGAATCTTCAGTAACTAGCTTTCAAAACCTTCAGGAAGATTCTTTTTTCTTATTTTTTTAAAAATATATTTGAAAGTTCCTTCAATGGGAGGATTGTTCGAGTTAGTTTTTATAATTACTGTAAACAAAAGTCTTGAGAAAGACTTTAAGGTATTTTCCCAAACCAAGCAAGTTTCTCACTGAAAATAATTCCACATGTTCAAGCATTAACAAATATTTTCCACTTCATTAATAATAAAATTTCTGACTGAGGTACCTTACTTTCTTTTTTTAAAAATTTCTTTCCATGAGGACACTTGCTCTCATCATAGAGAGATAAGGGGGTGGGGAGGTGGGTGGGTGGAAATGCACTTTTCATGGAGAATGGTCACATCACAATCCCTTCTCTGCCATCTCTCCTTCCTTTCTGGATTTTGGGCAAGTCTGAACAGGCTCCTACCATATTTTTCAAGACCCCAATCTTGGTCTGAAACCATGTAGTCGGCCATGTGGGATCTTGCTGTCTTAAATACCCAGCCATGGACTGGCCTGAAGGACCCTACTTTCTTCTACCTCCCATCAGCCTCCTTCTTGAGACCGTGTGAAATATCAGTTATTGTAAAGTTTTAATATGAGTTAAGCAGGAAAATGTGCAAAATTTCACTCTGCAAATGGGAAATATAAATATAAATATAAATATAAATATAAATATATATATATATAAATATATTCCATACAAACAGAAACTGAAAATTCTCACATAAATACAAATAATTTTGTAAATTAATAAAATAGATGTACTTCTTGAAAAAGTTAAGTTTTAGAACTATTTTTTAAAATACAAGGTTTCAGAGAAGGTTAAAATCTAAAAATCAAAATCTTGAGATTTTAGATATAAAACATTTTTGTGTGTGAGGAAATAAATATTTGTAAATATTTAGGTTGATTTGTGTGTGATTACATGTGAATGTGCTCTGCAATAAAATTTAGCGCTTAGCTTGAAATTTCCTTTCTGCTCCAATAAAATGCTGTATTTTGAGTTTTTGTTTCCAAGCACATTAGTTAAGATACAAAATATGCTTTAGTATCAGGAAACATAATTGATATATGGTCACACCTGAGTCTACACTCTTGCTACTTCGTTTAGGAAATATGAAGAGGATGTGGTGAGATGGGATGGTGGACCCAACTGTTGTCTCATGCCAGGCAAAATTAATTTTCTCTCTGGCAGATGTGAACCTCGAGGTTGTTACAGCTCAGAATGACATGCTGGGCTACCAATGTTCTTTAACTAAAGAGCAGGGAGAAAATAAGCAGTTGTAGAAAAATTTCACGAAAGCTGCCTCTCCCATGATTTTACTTTCATGAAAGCAACAGCAGAATATTAGTGGCTGGTTTCTTCTCTTTATTCAGCACTACGAAAAGATTACTAGGAGAATGCAAGGTGTAGATTAGGTTCCATGTAATCATTATTTTGTTAAATCTATGTTTTGTTGGTATAGATTCAGCTGAATAATTAAACTTATTATTCACGACCTGAGAAACATCTTTTGGTTGTTATTGTATGTTGGGAACATTGAAGTCATACTTTCAACATTTGAAAATGAATCAGCTCTGCCAGATATTCAAATTGTAGTTCTTGCTAGGTCTCCTTGCATGACTGTTAAAAGGAGATTTTGCTGTTCTTCAGTCCTTCTTCAAACATACCCAACGTGCTTGGGGAGAGAATGCGGAATGCTGTGGTAAAATGTAGTTCAAAGTAGCTCATCTGTATTTTAGTAAATGTGTAAGTGATGGCTTGCAAGTGAACAGTAAATACATATTGAATACTACCTATAAAATGATAAGTGTTTTTAAAGATAATTTTATAGATAAATTTGATTTGGGTAATAACCTTTTAAAATCGAACTTGATGTATATAGTAATGTCCTAAGTTTTTTAGTTAATTTTTTTTACCCTTCTTTTTGATGATTGTTTTACATCTACTGCTTATGGGAACTTTTGCATCCATATTTTTCTTTTCCTACCCCTTCTCCCCCCCTCCCCTTTTTTTTTAACTGCAGGCAGTTTTTCAGGAACTCCAGGCAGTGTAAAATCATCTTCTGGAAGTTCAGTCCAGTCTCCCCAGGATTTCTTGAGCTTTACAGACTCAGATCTGCGTAATGACAGTTATACTCATTCCCAACAGTCATCATCAACCAAAGATGTACATAAAGGAGAGTCTGGAAGCCAGGAAGGGGGGTTGAATAGTTTTAGTTCCTTAATTGGTCTCCCTTCGACCTCAGCTATTATGTCACAGCCTAAAAGCTTTGAAAATTCACCTGGAGATTTGGGTAATTCCAGCCTTCCTACAGCAGGATATAAGCGGGCTCAAACTTCTGGTATAGAAGAAGAAACTGTAAAGGAAAAGAAAAGAAAAGGAAATAAACAAAGTAAGCATGGGCCTGGTAGACCCAAAGGAAATAAAAATCAAGAGAATGTTTCTCATCTCTCAGTTTCTTCTGCTTCACCAACATCATCTGTAGCATCAGCTGCAGGAAGTGTAACAAGCTCTAGTCTTCAGAAATCTCCTACATTGCTCAGGAATGGAAGTTTACAAAGTCTTAGTGTTGGTTCATCTCCAGTTGGCTCAGGTAGGGATTTACCGGTTATTTTTCTTCCTCACTCCCACCACCACTTCCCTTTCTCTATCCCCAAAAGTTTTCAACTTTGATTAGTACATGATATTCAAGTGACATTTCAATTTTTCATTTCTTAATGAAACAAATGGCTTAAAATCTAAGATAGTTTGGTGTTTGGAAACTCTGCTTTGCATTAATCTGTTGTTACTTAACGAAATGTAGGCTAAACAGTTAATTGTTCATCCTTTACTTGTCAAACATCTACATTTCATTTCCCATTTTTGTTTTTGCTTTAATTGCATAATATTTTTTAAATCAACTCAGAATTCACATTTAAAGTGTGATGATCTTTGCAGTATGTTTTTGGTTGCTGTTTGTCTTGAGCTCCCTATTTCTAAACTTCACTTTTAGTCTTCATTTCTAAACAATTCTCATACAAATGTTAATGGAATTACGTTTTTCAATTAATTGATAAATGATTTAAATTTGTGGAATTTATCAGTCATTTTATTTCAGGAGATGTGTAATGATTCAATTTTGTTTTTAAATCATTTAATAATTTTGCCATTATTTTTATTCTAGTATAAGTGAATTTATACATGTTGTTACTCACATCACTGTTATGTTTCTGTAACTTGCAATTTGTATTATCAATATTACTTTCAATTTTTAAAAAAAATTATTGAAATGCATATTTTTTGACAAACCCTTAATAGTTTTGAAATTAACTTCAGTATCGACCTTTATCTTTTAAATTTCATCTTCAATTTGAGAGAAATTGTTTTCAATAAACTTTGATTGTAAACCTTACCTCTCCTTTGGTTTTAGGTTTCTGATTGTTGAAATAATGAGTGTTAGCTAATATAAAGTATAAGGGGTTGTATAATTTCTACTAATTGGTGGGGATTGTAGGTGGGAGATAGTATGGAAAAGTAATAAATAAAATTTAATGAAGAATGTGCATGTATTTTTATAAGTACATGATTTTGGATTGTTTTTCTAGTTTTGCATCTACTAACTTTAATGAGCAATTATCAGGTCAGATATGAGAAACAGTAACTGTAACTAGCATTTGTTATGTCTCAGGTTCTGATAAGTGCTCTATACTATTTTTTTTTTTTTTTTTCATTTAACAACAGTTACATGAAGTAAGGGCAACAAATGCCCTCATTTAATAGCTGATAAACTGAGGCTTTCAGAGTTAAAATAAGCTACTGAAGATCACACAGCTAGGAATTTCTGCTAGGTATCTTCAGTGCCTGTGGTGGATCAATAGATCCATCTGGCAAATATGCCAGGCTCCTTCTCTCCCACCCCCCCAAGAAATGACCTGAAACTAAGGATTGTTTAATTAATAACAGCATTAAAGATTGTTCGAGGGCAGGATTTCTCAATCTCGGCATTACTGATACTTGGGGTGGGGTAATGGTGTGTGTCCCCTGCTGCCCTGTGCATTGTAGGACATTTTCCAGAATCCCCAGTCCTGCCTACTTAGATGCTGGTAGCACTCCATTCTGACCACCTATTTCTGTGCTGAAAATAAAAAAATGTCAGTATCCTTAAGGGGCCAGAAGCCCCTCTGGTGGAGAGACAGTTTTAGAGGGGCAAACTATATTTAAATTACAATGAAAAATAATTACATGGTGCCAGCAGGTGACATGGTGGTTAAGGTGCTGGACTCCCATGTGACTGACCTGGTTTAAGTCCCAGACCTTGGTGGCTTGCTTTCTTACTTTTCCTGTTTGTCTAAATCTCTCTCTCTCTTTCTGGTGAACTAAATAATAATGATGATGATGATGATGATAATAGTAATAATAATAATAATTAGGGCCAGCAGGTGGCATGGTGGTTAAGGGCAGGGTGCTGGACTCCCACAGGACTAACTGCAGTTCAAGTCCCAAACCTGGCAGCTTACTTTCTCTCCCTCCCTCCCTCCCTTCCTCTCTCCTTCCTTCCCTCTTTTCTTCTCTGGTCAAATTAAAATAAATAAATAAAATAAAGTTAAATAAAGTCATTAAAAAATAATAAGAAGAAATAAAATTAAATAGATAATTCTTTTTTTAAAAAAGAAAAATAATTTCATTGTAAAAACAAATATGTTGGGACCAGCAGATGGCTTAATGGTTTTGTCGCTAGACTCCCATATAGTCAACTGGTTTGAGTCCTGGACCCAGCGGCATAAACCTCATGCTGGGCTTGTGTAAGTACATACCCAAGAATGGAGGAGAAGGGATTACAGCGTGGTCATGTTCCCTGAATGGTGATTTCTCACTTTCTGTATTTCTGTCTCTCTGGCTAGCATATGCACCCTATAGCAAAAATCTAAAAAAGAAAAAAAAAGCCAAATATGTTGAACATTTGAATATGTGTTTTTATTTATTTATTTATTTATTTTGAGACCAGAAGGTTTAGCCTTTAGTCACAAAAAGTAATGATTTAGGGACCAGCAGTTAGGATAATGGCTATGTTGCTGGACTCACATGTAGTCGACCGCGGTTCGAGTCTGGGACCCGGCAGCTTAAACTAATGCCAGGTGCGTGTGCATGTATGGCCAAGATCCAGAGAGGAGAAGGGAGGAGAAAGGATTGTGGTATGGCCATACCCCCTGGGAGGTGATTTCTCACTTTCTGTCCCTCTTTCTCTTTCTGATGAGCGCACGTGCCCTATAGCAAAAACCTCTCCAAAAAAAGAAAAAAAAAGTAATAACTTGGACAAATTTACTCAGAATAAAATTGAGTTCAGATTCATTTTTAGCACAAGGCCCAGGAATCAGATTTCTTACTGAGAAAATTAAGCCTGAATTTTCTTATGTAAAGAGAGATCACTGGTTTCCTATAGTTTTTGAAGCATGGTCTAGAATCTCTGAAAATTTATTTCCACATTTATTTGAAACATATATCTTCAAATTAATGAAATTAAAATATTGATTTATATCCCTGAAAAGATTTTTCTGCCTGCTACACATCTAGGGATATTTTAGATGTGGCAAAAAATGTTTCCAACAGAACTTTTCCTTTTAGAGGGTAGTGTTTGTGGTACATCTATAGCAGAAAATAGTTGGATTTATATCTCTCTTCCCTTACTGTTAGGTAAACATAATAATTTTGGGAGAAAATTCCTATAAGTGTTATTATTTTACAGAAATGAGTGACTTTAGGGGGCAGCAGGTGGTATGGTGATGAGACACTGGACTCCCCCATGGTCAACTGCAGTTTGAGCTCTGGACCTGGCCGTTTGAAAATCACACTGGGTGCATGTGTATGCATGCCCAAAATCCTGAGAGGAGAATGGAGTAAAAGGATTGTGGCGTGGCCATCCTCCAGTGGGGTGATTTCTCCTTTTCCCTCTTCCCTCTCTCTCTTCCCAGTGAGTGCACATGCACTATGGCAAATACCTAAAAATAAAAAAGGTGTCTTTACCAAGTTTTAGTTGTCAAGTTGGTTGTTTTTTTTTTTTTTTTAGAGAGAGAGACTTTTGCTATAGGGTGTGTGTGCTTGCCAGAGAGACAGAAAGCAATAATCACTCCCCCAGGAGGGATGGCCACCCTGCAGTCCTTTCTCCTCCGTTCTCCTCTTGAGATTTTGGACATACACACATATAGGTGTACCCTGTGAATTTTAAGCCACCAGGTCTGGGAATCGAACTGTAGTCGACTATGTGGGATTCCAGTGATGTAAACGTTATATCATCTGCTGGTCCTTTCAAAAAGTTTTTTAGGGAACCAGCAGTTAGCGTAATGGCTATGTCGCTGGACTCCCACGTAGTCGACTGCAGTTCACGTCCCGGACCCGGTGGCTTAAAACTCACGCTGGGCGCGTGTGCGTACGTGCCCAAGATCCCGAGAGGAGGGGGGGATTTCTCGCTTTCTGTCTCTATGTCTCTCTCTGTCTGGCGAGCGCACGCGCCCTACAGTGAAAATCTCTCCAAAAAAAAAAAGTTTTTAAAATTACCTTTAAAAATCACTCCTAAGGGGCCAGCGGGTGGCATACTGATTATGCTGCTGGACTCCCACATTGCCAACCACGATTTGAGTCCTGTATTTGGAGGCTTGAAAACTGGGCACATGTGTGTGAGTGCCCAGAATCCTGAGAGGAGAATGGAGGTGAAGGGACTGTGGCATGGCCATACCTCTTGGGGGGTTATTTCTTGCTTTCTGTCTCTGTCTCTCTTCTGTCTGTCTGGTGAGCGGACACATCCTATAGCAAAAATCTCTCTCATTAAAAAAAAAAAAAATCACAGGACCAGCAGTTGACATAATGGCTATGTCGCTGGACTCTCATGTAGTCTACCGTGGTTCAAGTCCTGGACCTGGTCATTTAAACTCACGCTGGGCGCATATGCGTGTGTGCTTAAGATCCTGGGAGGAGAATGGAGGAGAAGGGATTGCGGCCTGACCATCCCCCTTAGGAAGTGAGTTCTCGCTTTCTGTCTCTCTCTCACTGGTGTGCGCATGCGCCCTATAGCAAAAACCTCTCTAAGGGAAAAAAATCACTCCTGAAGACTGTGGTGTGATGGTTAAGGTGGCTGGATTCCACAGGGCCAACTGTACAGTTTGATTCCTGGACCTGGAGGCTTAAAAAACAGTCCAAGTGCATGTGTGTGTACACAAAATCCTGAAAGGAGAAATGGAGAAGGGAATGCAGCATGGCCATCCCTCATGGAGTGTGCTTTCTCACTTTCTTCACTGTCCCTCTCCAGGGAGTGCACATGCTTTTTAGCAAATTAAAAAACATAAAATCTCTAAGTATGGAATAAGATTACAAAACTTAAAATGTTTTGAGATCATTTTTTATACTTTTTTTGAAAGAGATTTTTTATTATAAGGTGCATACACTTGCTGGAGAGACAGAGAAAGACAGACAGACAGTGAGAAATCACCCCCCCACACACACCTCGGGGGGTCGTAAATGGCCACACTGCAATCCCTTCTCCTTCCTTCTCCATGTGGGATGGGCACGACACATACACTTCCCAGACTTGAACCATGGGAGTCCAGCAGCATAACCATCACA